AGAAAACAATAGAACACTTATGAAAGAAATTGAGGAAGACACAAAGAAATGGAAAAATGTTCCATGCTCAAGGGTTGGAAGAACAAATATTGTTAAAATTTCTATGATACCTAGAGCTATCTACACATTCAATGCAATCCCTATCAAAATACCATCGTCATTTTCCACAGAGCTGGAACAAATAATCCTAAAATTTGTATGTAATCAGAAAAGACCCTGAATAGCCAAAGAAATGTTGAAAAAGAAAACCAAAGCTGGTGGCATCACAATTCCAGACTTGATGCTCTATTACAAATCTGTAATCATCAAGACAGTATGTTACTGGCACAAAAAGAGACAGACAGATCAATGGAACAGAAGAGAGAATCCAGAAATGGATACTTAACTCTATGGTCAACTAATCTTCGACAAAGCAGGGAAGAATATCCAATGGAAAAAAGACAGTCTCTTCAATAAATGGTGTTGGGAAAATTGGACAGTCACATGCAGAAGAATGAAACTGGACCATTTCCTTACACCATACAGAAAAATAGACTCAAAATGGATGAAAGACCTAAATGTGAGGCAGGAATCCATTAAAATCCTAGAGGAGAACACAGGCAGCAACCTCTATGATCTCAGCTACAGCAACTTCCTGCTAGACATGTCTCCAAAGACAAGGGAAACAAAGGCAAAAATGAACTATTGGAACTTCATGAAGATAAAAAGCTTTTGCACAGCAAAGGAAACAGTCAACAAAACCAAAATACAACCGACAGAATGGAGGAAGATATTTGCAAATGACATATCAGAGAAAGGGCTAGCATCCAAAATCTATAAAGAATTTATCAAACTCAAAACCCAAAGAATAATCCAATCAAGAAATGGGCAGAAGACACGAACAGATATTTCTCCAAAGAAGACATACAAATGGCCAACAAACACATGAAAAAATGCTCCACATCACTTGCCATCTGGGAAATACAAATCAAAACCACAATTAGATACCACCTCACACCAGTCAGAATGGCTAAAATTAACAACTCAAGAAACAACAGTTGTTGGCAAAGATGCAGAGAAAGGGAAACCTTCTTACACTGTTGGTAGGAGTGCAAACTGGTGCAGCCACTCTGGAAAACAGTATGGAGATTGCTCAAGGAGTTAACAATAGAGCTACCCTATGACCTAGCAATTGCACTACTAGGTATTTATCCAAAGGATACAAACATAGTGATTTGAAGGGACACATGCCCCCCAGTGTTTATAGCAGCAATGTCCACAATAGCCAAACTGTGGAAAGAGCCAAGATGTCCATTGACAGATGAATGGATAAAGAAGACGTGGTATATATATACAATGGAATATTATGCAGCCACCAAAAAAAAAATGAAATCTTGCCATTTGCAAAAATGTGGATGGAACTAGAGGATATTATGCTGAGTGAAATAAGTCAATCAGAGAAAGACATGTATCATATGATCTCACTGATATGAGGAATTCTTAATCTCAGGAAATAAACTGAGGGTTGCTGGAGTGGTGGAGGGTGGGAGGGATGGGGTGGCTGGGTGATAGACATTGGGGAGGGTATGTGTTATGGTGAGCACTGTGAATTGTGTAAGACTGGTGAATCACAGACCTGTACCTCTGAAACAAGTAATATATTATATGTTAAAAAAAAGAAGAAGATAGTAGGAAGGGAAAAATGAAGGGGGGATAATCGGAGGGGGAGACGAACCATGAGAGACTATGGACTCTGAGAAACAAATTGAGGGTTCTAGAGGGGAGGGGAGTGGGGGGATGGGTTAGCCTGGTGATGGGTATTAAAGAGGGCACGTATTGAATAGAGCACTGGGTATTATACACAAACAATGCATCTTGGAACACTACATCAAAAACTAATGATGTAATGTATGGTGATTAACATAACATAATAAAATTTAAGAAGAAGAAGTGGTATAGATATATACAATGGAATATTACTCAGCCATCAAAAGAATGAAATCTTGTCATTTGCAATGACGTGGATGGAACTAGAGGTTATTATGCTAAGTGAAATAAGTCAATCAGAGAAAGACAATTATCATATGATCACACTCATATGTGGAATTTAAGAAACAAAACAGAGGATCACAAGGAAGAGAGGAAAAAATAAAACAAGATGAAACCAGAGAGGGAGACAAACCATAAGAAACTAAATTATAGGAAACAAACACGGTTGCTGGAGGGGAGGGTGGTGGGAGGGAATGGGGTTGATAGATATTAAGGAGGGCATGTGATGTAATGAGCACTGGGTATTTTATAAGACTGGTGAATCACTGACCTCTACCTATATACATTATATGTTAATGTATATGTAACCAATAATACATTATATGTTAATTAATTGAACTTGAATTAAAAAATGCAAAAAAAATCTATCCATTGAATTCTGAATTTTGGACGTGTATTTTTCCATATGTAATTTCTAATTTGTTCTTCTTTATAGTTCCAATTTTCTGTTGAAATTCTTTTTTATCTCTTTTATCTATTTTATTCATCTTTTCTTTTTTTTCTTGACCATATTAACCATAGTTTTTAAAAGCCCTTATCTACAAACTCTGATATCTGGGTCACCTGTTAATCTATTTCTGTATTCCATTTCTTTTTGTTTTAAAATCTTGGTTTTAGGTCATATGGTCTTGTGTATTGTTATGCTTCACGATTTTTTTATTGAATTGCCTACTTTGTAAATAATCTGTAGAACTTTTTAGATGATGTTGACTTCCACCATAAAGGCCTCATTCTTTCCTTTGCTAAACAGATAGTGTGGGAGAATTATTACTTTAATCCCATAAGGGACTGAGTTGAATTCTAGTTTTGGTTAAACTTGGTATGTCTCTGCTGCTCCCTTCTAACTAGGACATAACTTCTCTAGAGATTTAAACTGAGTGCCTGGCATACCTTCTTTTTTATAGCATTGGTAGATTGTAGGAAATTCAGTTTTACTTTTCAGAGGTTTTTATTTTCTTTTTTAGCCTTATGATTTGTGCATATTCAAGATTTAGCAATTGTATTGAGAAGGATATTAGCCAAGAGTTTGAGACCTTCTAGAGCTCTACTTTTATCACTTTAGCTCTGTGTAACCATGAAAACTATTGCTTTTTTTCCCCCCTATCATCTAGCAGCAGCCCTATGCTTAGGGCAAAACTTGAATTTTAAGCTGCAATCAATGGCCAAAATTGTCAAATACCACAACGAATGAAGAAGATGCAGGTCACAAATTCATCTATGAGAAGTTCTACCCTTTCTCCAGAATTTTTGTTTCTCAATCTTCATTGCTTCTACAGTTCTAGGTTTTCTAATTGTTCATGAGGGGAGCACTGTTCACCCACAGATAGTCTTTCTCACTATTGTTGCCCCTATCCCTGTAATTTGAGCCATTATCATTTCTCATCTGAACTATTGCAATACACTTTTAACTGAACTTCCTTCTTCTGTTCTTCCCATATTTATATTTTTAACCGAGTACCCATAATGATTCTTTTAAAAAACATAAGTCAGATAATGTAATCATTTTGTTCCAAATTTTCCAAGCACTCCTCATTTTCTCTCAGTAAAGTTCAAAGCCCTTTAATATCCTACAAGACTCTAGATGACCTGGCCTCTTCTTTGATCTCATCCTTTCCTAGTGCTTTCTCCTTTACTGTATCCAGCCATATTGGACACTTTAATGTTCCTTGGAGAAGCCAGGCACTTTTCTGACTTAGCTTCTTATCCCTTGTTGTTCCCTCTACTTGGAGCACAGTTTCCTCTAATATCTGTATTGTTAATGCTTTTACCTTCTTAAAATTTCTGCTCAATTGTCACTTTTTCAAAGAGGCCTGTGCTGATTACCCTATTTTAAATTTCAATGGCAACACCTATCTTCCACCTAGACAAGACTGATTCCCCTTATTCTGTAGTACTTTTATGTTTTCCCATGGTGATTTTCACTTTACAACATACTTTATACTTTACTTTTTAATCTGTTGTTTATTTTATTTTCCACCATCAATCTCTCCTCTATAATATAAGCTCCACAAAGACAGGGTCTTTGTTTTATTCATGGATGTATTTCAAACTCCTTCAGTAGAGCCTGGCACATAAGAGACAATTTATAAGTATTTGACAATGATTGAAAAAATATGTCACATGTAATTATTTGGATCTTTTCAAATGCACTTTCTACTTCAAAATATAGAGCTAAATTTAATTTAGACACAATCAACACAGACCTTGATATATTGCTCAGATGACTCCCTATATGAAACTTACTCTAAAATTCTTAGAGTTAAAAACTCAAATTCTATTCAATTTTGATTTTTTGAATTTATTTGAAAATGGGCTATGTATCTACTCATTTCTCTTTCAGATTTACAGTTACCGGTAAAGGCAATACTCTGTAAAAATGAGAAAATCTCCAGAGTCTCTTTCTATCTACCATCTACTGTAGAGAATTAGATAGAACTATATGAGATGCAAATAGAATAGGCATTTCAAAAATAAAAACACATTCTCTTTTGGGGATCTTATCCTTTGGAAGCTGCTACTCTACTGTATATTAGCTCTGTCTTTTTATTCATTCATTCATTCTCAAGTTTTTATTTAAATTCCAGTTAGTTAACATACAGTGTAACATTAGTTTCAGGTGTTATAATACAGTGATTCATCACTTACATACAACACCCAGTGTTCATCACAGTAGATTAGCTCTTACTTGCTATATCTTCTAGACAATTTAGAAAACAGATGTTATTCTTTCAATCTAATGACAGAAATGAGTCTGAAATGGTGAGATAATGTTTTCTTTCTAGAAAGAAATCTATTAAAAGCTAAGTCTCCTCCTTTTGATCACTTAGTATTATTCAACCCCACTCCCCTTCCCCACTCCCATACCACCCTGAATTCAAGGCTTCAGCTTTAGAAACTACTAGGGGGCAGAACAGGAAATACTGTTTCTTTTGGAAGAAGATCAGGTAAACAGAAAGTGAGAAAATACGTACAGCTTCCAAACTTCAGTGGGCAGGCATGCACATCCATAGGAAAATCTTCCAAATGCATGGGGCACTCAGCATGAATTGTTAACCTAAAAGAAAGGAGAACAGAAAATGAGATTAAGCTAAAATGAATGGTGGTAAACACAGCCGAATGTCCATTCACCAGCGATAGGGTGCCCCTAAGAATAATGGGATTTTGTTTATACTGAGATTGAAGTCTTTATGAACACAAGGGATGGATTAAATGAACTAGAGAGCCTCTCAAAACAGCACTCAGATTTTTAGATCAGATTTGAATTCCACCTCACCACCTTTCAAAAAACAAATATAATTATTTGCCTTAGCTGAGCTCCCTCACCCAGCCCTCCTCCTCAAAGAAGCCTGAAAACACCAGGTCCTGACTCATTCACTCCTGATAGCAGTTTAATTATTTATTAAATAATTCTCAGCAGGCTATCAAGTGAGTTAACCAATTTAAAGACTGCACTGGAAAGGAGAGATGAGTATCTTTACCTTGATAATGAACAGGTACAAAAGATGGCTCTGCTGTTCCCAGCAACTGTTATAGCTTAGTTGAAGGAGATGACTCTTGGAGAACACATATACACACTTGTGCATACACACACACACACACACACACACACACACACACACACACACACACACAACTGGCCAGAAAAAAAAAATACAAGGGTAATGGAGGTCATCAAAAACCTCAGAGGTTAAGTCTAAAGAGCTCATGCTTTCTTTATAGGAACAACATGTAGGAGAGACTGCATGGATTCCTCCTCAATGAAAATCTGAATGGGGTATGATTTGCCATGCCCACATATTCATTTTCCTGTATTAGTCTGCTTAAATAATCTATTCTAAGATTTCCCCTATGATTTCTTTAAAGAATTTTGAGCCTCAACCTCCCTTGGCCTAGATAGTAACTTCCTATGTAGAAATGGGACCTACACAGCAGAAATTCAGAGTTCTTTGGAGCCTAGCTCTGATGAGTTATTTCTAGCTAATCAGTATATCTCCTGGTTATATTAGATTCAATCTATGCCATCTTCTTGGAGTTCTAGGGGGCCAACTGGCCAGCATCTCCAATCCTAGTTAATTGTTAAACCTGGTGAATGTGTAACACTTCACAAATGATCAGAGGAGCAATACTAGATATCGCGCAAAGCAGGCTGATTAAAACAAACATGCTCAGGTGTGTATTAGCAAGAACTCTAGACTAAATGGCAGAAACCAAGTGTACGCTCTTCAACAAACACGTATCCATCTCTTATTTTTAGTTCTCCCATCTAAACAGTAAGAGGAACTAGATGGCAAGTGTCCTTGTAGATCTAACTAATCCCTTCAATATTTATAAAATTTTCCATGTTGTCTTGGACAAAAGCTTAATTCTCAAGTTAGCCTGCAATATCCCAAGAATCCACCTTTTATTTTTAAGGCATAAAGGGGGTTTCATAATTCAAAGAATTTGACACACAAAAAATGTATTTCATTGATAAACCTATTCCTCGTGTTGGATACTTAAAAGATTCCATGAAGGTTTAATAAAGAAAATTGTGTCCCTTCTTTCCACTTATATTAGTATTTCCAAGATACTGCTTTTTATGAGTAATGCCAAGGGGAAATTACTTTATGTCTACCCAGCAGTCCTGGGGACATGGCAAATAAGACCACAATAAATAGATTATCAAAGCAAGATGCAAAGGGCACTGATTTCTGATTAAGAGTGGAACTGATTTATATAACTTTTCCCTCTTCCTTCCCATATACTTCTTGCCCATCCTACCTAGGCACAGAGCAGAGGAGAAAGCAGATGTTGGTGAGGGCAGGGTACTTCATAAACCAGATTATGCTGTGCTTTCACTGGTTCTTAAACACATCCTATTGCTCTCTGACATCCCATGTCATACTGTCTTCCCTTCTTCCTTTCTTCTTTCTCTTTACCTTGCCTCAAATTTCAAGATCCCTTCAAGCTTTTCTATAGCAGAAAGCAGCCTGACTATACCCAGGCTAATATCCTCATCACTACGATCTATGTCATAAACATATCCGTCCCCTCCAAAACTTTCCTTCCACCCTCTTATTATTATTGTCATTGTTATTGTTTTGTGTGACAAGAACACTTTACATAAGATCTGCCCACTGAGCAAATTTTTAAGTATACCATTGAATACTGTTAATTGAGAAAAGGACGAATAGACATTATTCCAAAGAAGGCATACAAATGGACACAGGTATATTAAAAGGTGCTCAACATCACTAATCATCAGGGAAATACAAATGAAAATCACAATGAGATATTACCTCATACCTGTTAGATAGGCTATTATCAAAAAGACAAGCGATAACAAGTGTTGATGAGGATGTGGAGAAAAGACAACCTTGTGCACTGTTGGTAGGAATATAAATTGGTGCAGTAACTCTGGAAAACAGTATGGAGGTTCTTCAAAAAATTAAAAAGAGAATTACCATAGGAGCCAGCAATCCTACTTTTGGAAATATATGTCCAAAGTTACTGAAATCAGGATTTCAAAAAGATATCTGCCCTCCAAAATTCATTGTAGCATTATCCACAATAGCCAAGACATGGAAGCAATCTAAGTATCCATCAATAGGTGGATAAGAAAATGTATATACATACAATGGAATATTATTCAGTCTTAACAAAAGAAAGAAATCCTGAAATTTTCAACCACATTGATGAACCTAGAGGACATTGTGCTAAGTGAAATAAACCAGACAGAGAAAGACAAATACTATATAGGATCTCCCTTATATGTGGGATTTAAAATAGTCAAACTCATAGAAGCACAGAGTAGAATGGTGGTTGCCAGGGGCTGGTGGGGAGGGAATGGGGAGATATTAGTGAAAGGTACTGTTTCAGTTTTGCAAGATGAATAAGTCCTAGAGATCTACTGTACAGGAAATCATCTTTAGTGGGCTTTTCAAGAAAGGTCAGAGATCCCTCAAAATGTGACATTCGGATCATAGGGACTTAGTTCTACTCCATGGTTTGGCCTGCTTTGATCTTTATGCAAAAATGAAACAGGAAGTTAAGAGGCAATCCAGGAAATTCTTTTCTTTGGGGGTAAAAGATACAGATAGAAAGGAAACCATTTTTAGCCCTGCATGTGCACACATGTGTGCACAAGCACACACACACTCCCCTCCATTACTGCTCTCATTTCACTGTGTTTTGCAGCATCCTGGCTCCCTTGTCACCCTACCATTTGCTGCTCAAAAGCTGGTTTCTATTGCACCAAAGTAAAAGGTTAGTTTTATTACTACTATGGCCCCCTAACTAGCCTCTGCTGTCACCCTTTCCCCTTACAGTATATAATCTACACAAGAGCCTTCTAATGCTTCCTCATCTTTTTGTAAAATATTTTATTTATTTGACAGAGAGAGAGAGCACACAAGCAGGTGGAGGAGCAGGCAGAGGGAGAAGGAGAAGCAGGCTCTCCACTGAGCAGAGAGCCCAATGTAGGGCTCAATCCCAGGACCCTGGGATCATGACCTGAGCCAAAGGCAGATGCTTAACCAACTGAGCCACCCAGGTGCCCCTAATGCTTCTTCATCTTATACAGACTAAGGCCAAAGTCCTTTCCATGGCTAATAGGGTCTTGTATGGCCTTGTCTTCTGTTCCTCTCTGGCTTATCTCCTACAATGCCCTCTCTTCTTCACTTTGTTCCAGCCACAGTGGCTTCCTTGCTGCTCTTTCAACATGCCAGGCTCTCTTACAGCATGGCCTTTGCACTTGTTATGCCCTCATACCTCTTTCAAGTCTTTGCTTAATTACTGTCTTCTAAATGAGGCCCACCCTGACCTCCACTCAGCTTACTATCTACCTTAGGTTAGTAAACCTTACCATCCTCTTTCTTTTCCCATAGCACATAGCATATAACAGGCCATACATTTATTTTTTCTATTTATCATTTTTTTTCTCCTTACTATAAGGTTATGGGTTTTTGCCTTGTTTTCTCTTTGATGTGTGCCAGGAGCTTAGCACATTACCTAGCACGTTATAGGTGTTTAATATATATCCACTGAATGAATGAATTAATGAATGAGTTTTCTTTCCTAAAAGCATGTATTTCTATGGGGATCTTGCAGAGAGGAGGTATAGGCTGGGCAGACAGGGTTTAGGTATTTTTAGGGTTCCAGGCAAAAGCATCTTAATATGATTCCTTAATAATATCTCAACTTATTCTCTTCAGTGGGCATATAGCATCTTTCGTGGAATTTCAAAGCAGAAAGAGCCTTAACAAAAACATCCAGTTTTATCCCCTCAGATGTTTTATATATGATGAAACAGAAGGGAAGGAAATTGTTCATATCACCCAACAAATCTGGTCCAGAACTGACTAAAAGTTTCCTGATTCTTTGGTGTAGTCCTCAAATATTTTTTGATCACCGACTATGTGCCAGCTAATATTCTAAGCAATGTTAAGTATATTAGTAAACATACCAAGAATGCTGCCCTCTTAGAGCTTACATTTGAGTAAAGGGAAGACAAAAAAATTTAAAAGATAAATCAATCAATCTATCTATCAATCACATAGTATAGTAAAAGGTAATATGCCTCAGGAAGAAAAATAATATGTGAATAGAAAGTATTGGGGAAGGATTGCAATTTTTAATAGGGTATTCAGGGAATACCTGAGTAGGTGACATTTAAGCAGTAACCTGAAGGAAATGAGAGTGAGCGTTATAGACACTTGGAGGAAGAACAAACTAGAGGGAGTAACAAAGTAGAGGGAGTAACCTTGAGGTAGAAATTAGTCCAGTGTATTCAAGGAAAAGCAGCTAGGCCACTGTGGCTACAGTGGAAAGATGAAGAGAAAAGATTAATAGAAGGTGAATTTAAAAAGGAAACTATGGGAAATGGACTAGATAGTACAAGGCCCTCCTAGGATATTTTGGTTTTCACCTTAAATGAAATGTGGAGGTATTGTACAATTTTGGGTAGAATGGTGATTTGATCTAACATTTTAGGATTATTCTGACAGCTGTGTGAAGGATAACTTGAAGGGCAACAACAGGAAGATGAAATTCAGCACCCATTTATGATCCAAAATA